AAAAAAATCATTTCCCGCCTAAAGTCAATATAATGAAACTAGAGATTTTTGGCAAAAAATTGAAATCTGAGCGCCATTCAACCAATTTTGAAAATTTTGAAAAAAAAAATAAATCAAAAAATCTAAATAAAAAGATTACATGCAGATTTTTTGGAGATTCCATATTATCTAACTTTCATGCAATATGAATGGGACACTTGTCCTATTTTTATTGGTCCACTATAAATTTTATATGATAAGATTAGTATAACTCAAATTATTGATATTATTTTATTTTAAAAAATAAAATAAAAAATATCACAATTCGTATTTTTTCATACTCTATAAATAGAGACTACTCTTGATATGTTTTGGAACACAATTGAAAATATTATGTTGGGTTAGGTTGTAGATAAACCAATATCAAACAATGTATTGTAGATAATATTTATTAAATAAATAAATAAAAATAAAATAAATATTATACTATCTTTATTAAGTCACCAACTAAAAAATAATAAAAGAATACAAAAAATAGCAAAATCCGTGACCCAGTTCAAATTGTGACCCTGGATCGCAACCTAGCCACAAAGAGGGAGAGAGAAAAGAGATGAGTGAAATGGGGCAAGTGTCCCATTCTTATTGGTCTATAATTTTTTCTATAATAAGATAATTGTAACTCAAATTATTGATATTAATTTATATGAAAAAAAATAAATAAAAATTTATTTTTCATTCTCTATAAATAGAGACTACTCTTGATATATTTTGGAACATAATTACAATTTCTATCTTTTCACTCTTTTTTCTTAATCGTAACTTATCAATTTTATCATATCTTTTATTTTATCATATCACAACTAAAACAATAAAAAAAAATTATTGTAGATAATATTCAATATATATATATATAAATAAATATAAAATAAATATTATGTTGGGTTGAGTTTGGTTGGGTTTGGAATAAAGGACTATTCTACTATGCCTTTTCCAGATATGGGTAGTATTAATTCAAGTGCGAACCGTCTGGTTTTGGATGTACTTAACTATGACCGTAAGGCTCTAGCTATTGAGCATGATGCATTGTTGACACATATGACCGATGAACAGAAGGGTGTTTATTCCAAAATAATGACATCTGTTCATTCTGGTAGGGGCGGCGTGTTTTTTGTGTATGGTTATGGTGGAACTGGAAAGACATACTTGTGGAGGACTTTAGCTGCTCGGCTAAGATCGCACGGTCAAATTGTGCTTTATGTTGCATCAAGTGGAATAGCATCTCTCCTGTTGCCGGGTGGACGAACTGCACATTCTCGATTTGTCATTCTTATTTCTGTGCATGAAAATTCATCGTGTGAGATCAATCAGGCTAGCCCCCTTGCCGAGTTGATTATTCGCTCTTCATTGATCATATGGGATGAGGCCCCAATGATGCATAAGCATTATTTTGAAGCTGTTCAAGCATCTTTTAAGGCAGTAATGGGAGCCCTTGACCCGACAAATCATCATAAACCGTTCGGAGGCCAGATTGTTGTGTTTGGTGGAGACTTTAAACAAATCCTTCTGGTAGCATTTGGGGAGAATGTACTGTGCTTAGGCTTACAAAGAATATGCGTCTTCAGAGCATTGGCGTTTCAAATGAACGTGACGAGCTGAATGCTTTTGCTGATTGGATAGCGAGCATTGGAGATGGAACATTGGGGGGTACAAATGATGGATGTTCTCCGATAGACATGTCAGATGATCTATTACTAGAGTCATCTGATGATCTAATTGCAAAAATTGTTGAAAGTACGTTTCCGATGTTCAAGAATGTAGCCGACGATCCAGGTTACTTGAAGGATAGAGCTTTACTTGCGCCAATACTCGATATCGTAGAATCTATTAATGAATACATGTCGTCGTTAAATTTGACTGGGGGACGCACACGTATCTAAGTTCAGACAGTACGTGTAAATGCGACTCCAATACCGACTTTCTGGCACAACTGCATACTCCTGAGTTCTTGAACACTATCAAGTGTTCTGGAACGTCGAAGCATGAATTGAATTTGAAGGTCGGAACTCCAGTTATGTTGTTGCGGAATATGATCACTCAATGGGACTCTGCAATGGTACACGATTGGTTGTGACTAAACTCTCCAATCATGTTCTCGAGTGTAAAATTCTTACTTGCGATCATGCAGGTGATAAAGTTTTGATACCTCGGATGACAAATAACTCCTTATGATGTTAGAGTACCATTCAAATTTTAAAGAAGGCAGTTCCCCATTATGGTTCCGTACGCATTGACTATAAACAAGAGTCAAGGTCAATCAATATCGCATGTTGGCTTATTCTTGAAGAAACCAGTTTTTAGTCATGGCCGTCGTTGTCTCCCGTGTTACTAACAGAAAGGGTCTGAAAATTTTAATTTGTGGAGAAGAAGGTTTGAAAGAAAATCAAACAAATAATATTGTGTATAGAGAAGTTTTTAATAATATATGATTTTTGTTTATATTTTGTATTCCTCTATCCTCTTTCCATTGTAATTAAATTATTAATTTATAAAAAATATTTAAAATAAAGTTTAAAAAAAAGGTTTGAGGAAATGATTCCGCCGTGCTGCGCACGGGTACCATACTAGTATGTCAAAATAAATTGTGTAACTGAAAGTTATATATTATTATTAAATGGTGGACATGTTTTTTATTAAATGCCACATATTTTTATTAAATGAACTAATATTATCATTAATTGAAGATAGAATAAAATTAAATGGTAGCAAAGGAATTAATAAAAGTCTCAATAGTTCTCCCTCCAAAAGACGATACAAGTTTTTTTTTTTAATTTTTTTTTAATCTATATATATATCTATAACTATAGAGTTTTAGGCTATTAAACTGATGCAAATGAAAAAATTTTCCCTCCCAGGTTTTAATTATTTATGATAAAACTGTTACATTATTAAGTACTAGTATCTTCACCCGTGCGATGCACGGAACATATTTATTAAAATAAATACATTAAAATATATATATATACATATATATATATATCATAAAAGTAAATGACAAATAAATAACATTATTATTAGATAGTAAAAGTACAATATTATATGGTAAAATTTTGAAAAATTTCTCGTAGACAACATTTTTAGTAGTTTTCTTTGCCCCAATATCGTCCCCCCACATATTAAATATTTAATCCCTGTGGATTAGTGACTCGAGACCCA